ATGTTGTGATTTATGAATATTTATTGTTAAAATCTCTAATAAGAATGTGTCAAACTCTATATACTTATCTTCCCATAGCATGCTCTCCCTATGAAGAAAGGTTTAAGAATAAAAGGTTGATTTTCATGAAATTTAACATTTTTGCACAAAATTTCTTAAAGGAAAGGATTTATATCATTTTATGTATTTAAATATCTTAAAAGACACAAATAAGAGCATTTGGATCAAGTTTTTTTTTTTTAGTATTTGTGGATGTAGATATATGGAAATCAAATATTTCTTGGAGGCAATTTTGCGAAAAATTATTTTTTGGAAAAAATTTATAAAGATATTCACAAGACTTTAAAATTAATGAATATATTCTTTTACTAATTAAATATGTAAGAGTTTGAGAAGTTTGTCGCAAATTTCCATCTAAAAAATAATTTTTAAATGGTAGGGCTCAATGTATTATATATTTCTCCTCTTGAAAGCTCTATTTTGTTATGATGTGTCAAGGCACGAGCATTGATGAAAGACACCTTATTTTCTAAACATGATGACAAATTTTATCTGATATAATCCCTAACATTATCAATTCTAATAACTTTTAATGCTAACTACAACTGAGCTTTTAACCTAGTTAAAAAGATTTAAAAAATGTGACTCACATCAAACTTTTGTTTGTCAAGGTATATCCATGTCACAAATATTTTATTCTAAAAAGATTAGAAAATATGTAGTACAGATATGGACACGCACGACACCATACAAGGACACGACTTAATTGAAAAAAATAGGACACAACATGTCATGTATACATTTTTATATCTAATTAATTATTAATATTAAATATATATTTTAATATTATTTTTTATTAAAAATATCACAACACAAATTATGCATTTAAAAAATTTAACTTCATAAATTTAATTTATTTAATAAAACCTCATGCTTATTAAAATTAATTTTTAAAATTAGATATAATATGTTTCAAAAGAATTCATTCAACTTACAATCCAACTTATCTACTAAAAGTTAAAAAATTATATAATTATAAAGAGAGAATTACTAATACTCAGCTTCGATGCATATTAGATGCACCTTTGATGCTCGATTTTGACGAATTTTAGAGAGAGCTTCAATATGACGAGAGAATGTGTGGTTTCAACTATGAGATATAATTAAGGCTAAACATATATTTATAATTTTTTTAATTCTCGTGTCTCATTTTCTCAAAATCGTTTAAACTCGCGTCCGATGCAGGGTTGGGGTGTGTCCAGGACGTGTTTAGGCCTAACTTTTTAGCTTGTAAGGAGTGGGTTGGGGTGTGTCCAGGACGTGTTTAGGCCTAACAAAAATTTAGAAGCGTCGGTGCTACATAGAAAAAAAATTATGAGACCCAAAAACATCAAAGTGAATTAAAATAAAGGGAGATAAATAAATTGGTGTTTCTCAAACTCACGGATCTCAAAATTATAATGTTCAACATTAATATTCTTAAACTATTAAATGATACATACCTTTAATAGTTTTGATTGATTGAAGCTCAAAATGAAAATATTCATTCCAAATATCATCTTTGATTGATTTGATAGAAATAAAAGAAAAACAAAAAAATAACATTGTGACCACTCTTATCTTCAAGTAGGTATAGTACATCTAGCTTGTCTAATCATCTTACCTGTTAGTCCTATAAAAATTAATTATGAACAAAACTCAGACAAAAGTTTTGATCCTTAGTTATTTTATGAATGAACAATTGGTCGTACGATTACGTATATGTAAGACATTATAGAAAAGTAAAAAAGCAAAACTTATTATTACTTTTTATCTTGCAACCATGATAACCAATTATAATTTTGATTATCTTAGAGCTAGAACAAGGCTAATAAGTGTTAAAAGGAACTTGAAAAGTATCAATAGACATGTTGCACATCAATCTATGAGGAAGGTGTTAGAAGCATTAAAAGCATAAGAATTAAAGTTTTTACCATTTTGAACTAAAGAGCTTGATCCAGAAGGATTCTTATGTGAGTTAAGAAATTTTTAGCATATTATTCTCATCTAGGTTGAGTCATAAAACCTCAAAGTGACCACCTTCTTGAATATGATCCTCACTATTAGTGTAATGAGAATTTCACTTTGGCATATTTTAGTCATGTCCAACGCCAAGATCCATGACCTGAGGTTTTCATCAAGTTTTCAATAGCTTTATTTAGTATGCTCCTTCTATTTGCAACACTAACGCCATAAGTTGTCTTTGTAAGAGATTTTCTGCCCATCGTTTTAATAAATTCAATAGTAATTAAATTTTTCACATTGAATTTTTCCATATGTGATCCCCATGGTCGATACTTCTTACATGATAGCACTTCTTCCTTCCAGAGCCCTTTATATGGAGAAGGCTTTATTAAGGAATAGTGAGACTTCTTTTTCAAGGACTTGAAAATGAAATTGATCAAATTCCATGAAGAAGAAGAAGAACTGAGATCTCAAAACACATTGGATGTGTAAATCAACAAATGCATTTCTCAAGCTTTCACGTGTTAAAAAATTAGATTGTTAGTTTATAAAGAGAGGAAGAGATCTAATTAAGGTTGTTTGAACACTGCAGAATGCCATCAACTACATAATGGAATTCAGTTAAGAAAATTATGATCAAGTCCTAATCAAAAGTGAAAGACAAACTGTAAGATATTTATTGTGATTAAACTGGCAGCCACTTGGAGGTGTTAACGTGTTATTGCTTTAATCATCCAACAGATTCAATATAGAAGGAATCATAAAAATCTTTTTCTGTTCATATATTGTTTGAAACTTGTGGCATCCTAGTCACATCCCTAAAAACCCTTTCATCACATTATAATAGTTAATGATTGAATGGTTTTCTAGCTTGAATGTTGACAAAATGTCATGACTCTAGAAATGAGGGCAACATCTCCACCTTTAAATCGTTCTCCCTCAAAGCATCCTAAATTTCTGCAAATATTATTAGAAACACCTAAGAACCGAATATTTTTAGCATCATGAAATTCCAAAGCCATGACAAGATTAGGGAGTCTTCTTCATTCCAAAAGGTGTACTTTTGATCTTCAAGACTAGAAGAAATACCTATCAAGTGTTTAATTTTCCCTCTTCTTTGAAGGTATTCGTAATTTGTGGCCACTGAGGTAATTTGTTGCATTCAACTAGTATAAAAGCTACAAATTTTGGAGTTATCCACTAATATTTGTTGTCATGATTTTCTAGACTTATGCAAATGGAATCTTTGGGGATAGTTTTAAAAAGTGAAAAACCAAGAGACCCTAACTTCCCTCTATTTTGTTCCTTTAATGGGCCTAGTGTTTCCGGAAATTCCAATGGCTTCTTTATCTCTTTATGTCCAAAAAAATAAAATTTTCTAAATATGATGAAATCGCATCAAATTCTTTCAACACTAGAACATCATAAATATGCTTTTCTTTAATGTAATATGGTAGGATATATGAAGCTTGGCCTTTCCGAAAACAATTGGAAGGGTTGTTTTCTTATGTATGCCTTCAATAGTGTGAAAAATAATCAGTCAAATGGTATCATATATATAGTGCAAATCAATCTATTATAGAAAAAAAACATTTTGGAACGGTTTAATTATAACATTTACTTACAAAAAAAAATAAAAATACAATCATTGTATATTTCCTTTATATGGATTTCTAATAACAATTGTAGATCTATTTTTATAATCAGTAGATCATGCATAATTCCTTTAAATTAGTATTAGATCCTTCAATCAAGCACACGTCATTACTCTAATAACCATGTCATTCGATTCATTAATAGACTTCTATACAATTCAATGGATTGATACTCGCTGAGAAACAAAGGAAGCATTTATGATCAATAGAATTTGCATACCAAATTATTTGGGCACCAATTTATGAACATTCTTTTTATTTCATTATTTTGAAGTGGTTCGTGTTTGTTAACTATAGTTTGTGAAAAAAATTTTTGCACATCTTCATGTCATAATAGTTTTAAACTTTTGACTTTCTCCATTTGCCTCTCAACACCCTTTAGTAATCATTCTATCCATCCAGCTTAGTATGCACCTTTATTCTCTATTGTATGTGAATAAACCATCTAATGATAATTAAAAATCTTATCCACAATATGTTGTTAACAAAATTAATTAATTAAAGTTCTTGTATTTATCCTTCTTTTTTTTATTGCACACCAATGTGATGGGAAATAAAAAAAAAATTAATTTAAATTGTTCTTAGTGCGCCGTTTAACTTAAGAGCCCTTGTATGTTGTAAAAATACTACATCACATTTTTTTTAAATGAAAGAAAAGCTTTTTTTAAGATAAAAGAGTGTCTATCCTTGTTTGAAGATCCCATGTAGAACAGCTAAAAATTCCATCTCAAAGATACTCATGCTAAGAGCATGAAATGTCAATTTTTAAAGATGACATAACTTAGATTATTATAAAAGGTCCCACCAAGCATCTCCCATCAAGAAAGTTTCACTTTATTACTTAGAAACAATTTTCTTAACAAATAGGCAGAATAAAACATGATTCTAATGAATTCTTGATATACATAAAAAACATCAAAAATATACGAGAGGTTATCAGCCAACTTTATTTAACTTACAAATGCTTTGGTGCTCTAATTACTACTATTTTCTAAACAAAATCCCTTAAAAACAATATGTGGGGGATTATGATAGGCCATCAAAGGGAAAATAAAATAAAGTACGACCTCAAATTCTTGGTTTGCAAATCATGAATACTGACAATCAAATATGTTTCACCAACAAAGAATTATTATTCTTTTCATTCAACATTAATTACTCTGAAAAAGTAACTGCAGCTAAAATCTAAGGAATAATATCTCTTAAAATGGTAAAAGGATAACTGACATTCATCAAAAGCTATTTAGAGATATAACAATCTTTACATAGTTGATATATGTTTCTACCGGAAACAAGTAAAGCTTTGATTTAAAAATTCAAAATTCTATCACATGTATTCACCTGTATTCTTCAAACATCCTCTCCACGGGACTGGCTATGTGCGCCATCCAAACTTGTCAATCCTTCAGCCATCATCCTTTCCCTGTTCTGAGCCTGCCTCTCCACAGCAACCATATACAAGCCTATGCTTCAAAATTCAAAAGTTTAATATATCGTTAAAAAAAAGTCAAACACAAAGTGCAGAACAAATGCGGAGAAAGCCAATTCACCACCTACTGCACTGCCAATTGCGCAAAGCCAGAGAATCCTCTGCGACCATTTTTCCCCCACCAGTCCTCTCGTCCCCATTTTTATGACGCTCAAATAAAAACTTTTCTTCTCAAATATGAAAATTATGGAAAAAGGGATATAATCAAACCATTGAATGCGAACGGAAACAGTCAAACAAAGAAATCTACCTAGCAAGGAATTCGATATTGCTAAAGAGTTTTGGCCTTTCACCAGCGTTTGCAAGCTTTCCCACCGTTGGCTTGGAGTAGAAATAGAGTTTGGCGAGCCGTGTAAGCTTCGTGTATTCTAGGTTTAAGCAATTGGGGGGCAAAGTTGCTTCCTTCATTCAGAGAAGTGTTTTGCCTCGAGATTGGAGTTGCTGAAATATATTATAGGTTTCTAATATCTGGTTAAGGGTCTGTTTGGCGCAGTTGCAGATTCTGAGCTTTTCAGCTGCAGCTGCGCTGTCCCAGGAAGCAGCTGCGCTGTCAGCGGCGCTGTCTCAGGAAGCAGCTGTAGGAAAACAGATGTGGGGAAGCTGACTGTCTGTTTGGTGTAGCTGCGTGAAAAATATTGTGAGCCAGCTGTTTCATGTAAAAATGATCGAACTGCCCCTGTTTGTTAAAATCTTTTAAAATTTATAATTTATTTGTATAAATATGGGTTTAATATAGGACTGTAAACGAGCCGAGCTTGAGCGAGCTCACAAAGTTTGCTTCCTTCATTCAGAGAAGTGTTTGCCTCAAGATTGGAGTTGCTGAAATATATTAGAGGCTTCTAATATTTGTTTGATAAAGGGTCTGTTTGACGCAACTGCAGATTCTCAGCTTTTCAGCTGCAGGTGTGCTGCCCCACGAAGACGCCGGTGGATCCCAGGAAGCAGCTGTAGAAAAACAGATGTGGGAAAGCTGACTGTCTGTTTGGTGTAGTTGTGTGAAAAATGTTGTGGTCATATAAAAATGACCGAACAGCCCATGTTTGTTAAAATCTTTTAAAATTTATGATTTATTTGTATAAAGATGGGTTTAATATAGGACTGTAAACGAGCTGAGCTTGAGCGAGCTCAGGCTTGGCTCGTGTTCAGCTCGTTCGAAATAGCTCGTGTTCGAAATCGGCTCGTGAACAGTGTGTTCGTGTTCGGCTCGATTTAAATATTTGTGTTCGTGTTC